GGACCCTCCTATCTGGCTTCTCTGATCTTGGCTTCTTTTCCAAGAAAAAGTTGTTTGGCCTTTTTTGGTAAATTTCGGCTACTTTTCGAACAGTATTTGGCTCTGAGCATGCGCAAGGCCTAACCTCGAAAATGAAAGTAAATAATAGTGAGACGTTGAAGGCGTTGTCGTTCGAAATGGCTTTGAATATGGCTATAAATCCCGACTAATTTCGCTCATACGATGGCTTGTTGCGGTGGCGGTTATCCGGAATATCGTTTTCAAACTTCAGTCGATAAAAATTTCTTCTGTCCAATCTGTACGGATGTATTGAAAGACCCAGTACAATGCCACAACCAACACCTTTTTTGTAGAGCCTGTATAACAGAGCATCTTAAGAATTCCCAGACGTGCCCCGTTTGTATGGAAAAACTCACGGAAGAAGCGTTATCCAAGCCAGCAAGAATTGTGACAGGCTATCTCGATGGTTTGATGGTCAATTGCGAGCACGAGGAACGAGGATGTGTTGAATTGGTCGAGCTTGGCTGTCTTGAAACTCACATTTCCGTGTGCGAGTATAAACCTGTAACGTGTCCTAACGCAAGATGCGAGGCTGTTGTAAACATGGCAGATTTAGACGAACACACGAGCGAGGTTTGTGAATACAGACAAGTATATTGCGAAGAATGTGACGAGAACATGTCTCTCAAGAAATATGGAAAACATGGCTGTTTTATAAGCAAAGATGTTCAGGCAATCAAGGTTGTATTGTTTCAAGTGCAACATCAAGTCAAAGAAATGTCGAACACGCAGAAAGAAATCCTTGAAGCAATCCAAAATCTTACAACTGCTAGTAAAATGAGCACAGTGAAAGGCGAAGCTGCATCCACCAGTGAGACAAAACCGCAAGGGGACATTGTTGTAATTGGTGGACAAAATGGTGTATTGATGAGCAGTAGTTGGCTTGATTCTGTTGAAATGTACTCCCTGGCCAATAGAACATGGACTAAATTGGCACCAATGCAAGAAAAGAGAGCAGCTGCAACTGCACATTTATATAATGGTCGAGTCATGGTTACTGGGGGTCGTTGTGATAGAAGTAATGTAACTAGGAGTATGGAATACGTTCGAGTTCGTGAAGAATCAGAAAAAGATAGTTGGGCCACTGTATTATGTGAAGAATCTGGTTGGGAACCTTTCTTTGCTGAATATGGTCGGTATAAAAGAAGACCAGAGCATCGTAATAGGGGTCACAGAGATGAATTTTCTTCACTTCAATGCAGACTACCATTTCAATGCCTTGGTCACAAAACAGCCATCCTAAATCACCATTTGTGGCTTGTTGGAGGCGTTATTTTTAACGGGCCACAGCGAAGCTTAAATGCCTCCATTCACATGTCACCTATTCATTCACCTCATGCCTATAGCTTTGTGGTCAAGTGTCGAATGCCTAAACCACTTTCATTCCATGGTTTGGAAATAGTTGGCAATGAACTCTTAATCATTGGAGGATCAACGACTGGTAGGATGTGTGATGCTGTTAGCACTGTATTGTCATACAATACAGCAACCAATGCACTCAGAGGATTGCGGCCACTTCCATTTCCAATGCTTGACATGGCAACTGTTAAACATGGTGATGATGTGATCATTATTGGAGGAAGCAACAATGATGATGAGTATTTGAACACAGTTTTCAAGTACAACCATAAGAAGCGTGAATGTGAGCAACTACCAGGAATGAAACACAAGAGGTCTGAATGTGCTGCTGTCATTTCTGGAAACAAAGTGTTTGTGATGGGCGGGTACAACAAAGAGCAAGGATATCTCAGTTCTGTCGAGTGCTTTGATCTTGAGAGTCAGATTTGGCATGAACTTCCATCCATGAATGAAGAAAAATATAAAATAGCTGCAGTTTTAGTGCCTTGAGGGATTGCCTTGGTCACCCCCTGGAGGTTTACAGCTAGGGGATGCGATGCTACAACCTGTCTTTTGTCCACCTGCCCTTTGAACAGGTATTTTTGAATGTGGATGGGCAAATAGGTATTCATACCTAAAAACTCCATTTTTTGTCTTAAGGTAATTTTGATATAACATATTGACATTTACCGGGATTAATACAAGCATTTTAATTTGAGTTTTAGTATGAGAGCACTTCCACCAAAACCGCCACCCCCAGAAAACTCTTGATTTTTGGATTGAAGAAATTATTGATTTTGCATGCTTCTCATTTATAATTCAAAAAAAAAAACCCAAAACAACCCCATTGTCCAGGAATGATAATTAACAAAGAGGATATGTATACTTTATTTAAAAAACTCATTAATAATTCATGACGAAAACACAAAGAAAAAATCATAAGCGTGTCGTATCTGTATATGTGATACAGATTCATATTGATTTACATAAACTTTAACTTTGATTTTCTCGGCTTAGACAACATTTATTTTTAAAATTACTTCGCCAATGAACTCATAAGATTGGACGTTTTTTAAGCCATTTACAACATATTTCGCGTCCGTATTGTATCAGATATACAACCTCTCGCCTTTGGCTCGAGTTTGTATATCCGATACAACACGGCCGCTCATGTTGTAAATAGTACAGCATATATATATATATAGGATTGTCTATAGTCTACTATATAATTGTCTAATTTTGTCCCAATATCCACTTTAGAGCAAATATATAGCTGTTTTTAATTAAACCGGTCTGTAATGGCATGTTGAAGAATATATATACACAATATTCTTCAAAGTATATATTTGTGAAAAATATAATTATATGGAGAAAGATTAAATTTCAAAACCCATTCCAAGATTTAGTGTTCACTGCTGCTGTATAAAGTGCTTGTATAAATACCTGTGAAATGCATTTGCTATACATACCTTGACCACTTGTAGATACAAGCCAATAAGACAAAAATTAATTTAACTAAATTAGTTGTGACCTTGATATTATAAGGCAAAACTCTTGTTGCTAGTATAACATTTTTGTAGTTTGTTTTTATTAGATATGCCGGGTACTGATGTACTTTCCTTCTCTAATAGAAGCCCGGCATATCTAATAAAAACAAACTAGAAAAATTCTATACTTGGCTATAGTATAGAGTCTTGTGTAGTCGTGTATATCACAATTAATGTCTCAATCATCACAAAAATACAGACTCTATAGTGAGCGTGACATATTTTTCTGGAAGTGTGCATTGTGTAGTAACTCTGACACCATTTTTGCTTGATTTTCAAACAAATATGTAACTAATGGATATAAAAAGATATATTCTTTCTTTGTATTTTGGCCTATAAAGTTGGCATACAGCATTATCTGCACAGATGACCCACCCCAGGTCTTATTGGAGACTGGAGAGCAATGTAACATTACATATGTTAATATGCCCTCTGCTTGATCTTCAACACTGAGCTATATAGTAATATTTATAAAAGGAAGCTCCACTGTTTTTCAGCTATAATATTACATATTTAATTCTATAATATATATTGCTAAACGTTGCTCTCCAACTAAACCAGGGTGGGTGCCTGTGTATCTGCCCATCTTTAAGGAAGTTTACTAAATATATGGAACTTTTATTCAGAATTTAATTAAGGAGTTCTAGCATCGGGAAACAAAATTAACCCTTGTTGGAAAGTTCACTATATAAAAAGTTGGTTTCTAGGAGGCCAAATAACTCAAATTTGGCTTTTTTACCTTTCATTTAACCACAAAAAAGTTTGACCTCTTTGGCCGTCTGAAAAGACCCTGATTATAATGTTAGCCAATCAGGATTCAGGACTCAATGACTCATGAAATCCAGCTGCTGGTAGACCTCCCGCCCTAATTTTCCCCGCCCGCAACCTCCCCTAAAAACCGTCTGCTACGCAGGCTAGTATGAAGCAAGAGTTCGAAAACATTCCGAAGTACTGTAAAATGTAATGAAATCGACAACTTGACCTTGCCCTTGACTTACCCTTGAGACCTTGTACTGCCTCAGCACTGAAATGTTTTTTGACAACGATAATTTACCAGTGTTTCTTGAATATTTTCCTTGTTTAACTAGTAGAACCGAACGTACAAGTGCATCAGAAGACTAAGCGAGAGTTTTGTGTAGAAATGCTCTGTTTACGGGAAGTTATTTTGCATTCGCAAGCGTCAACAAAACTGCAGCATCAAGTTCACAGTTTGATTATCATAGCGATAGATAAAAACTTTGAAAATTCAATTGAAAACATTTTAAACCACCCATATTTGTATAAAATATATGTTAGTTGTATTAACATTGAACTTCTTTCTGTTTGAACCCAAATTTGTACTTGTTTTGCGTTTGACAAGGCTGTCAAGCTCGCGACGATTGGCTTTTTATTTAATATACCTCAGTCAGGCATGACTACAGATTTAGCGTGTCAAATGTCTTTTATTCTATACACTGATATTCTATACACTGGAAACGTAGAGTACATCTTACTTTGTCTTTGTCTCAAGCAAAAAAAGTATAAAGATTAAACAGGCATTCAAAAATATACAACAACCACGAACATCTCGTAATATTTCTTCGGGGAAATCTTCAAGTTTCAATGGAATCAGGCGCATGCGCAACAAATTTCCCAGCTGTTGTTATTTCCTTGAAAATTCCTTGAAATTTCATGAAGCAGTTTGCAGTGATGATTTTGTCGCAATACAAAGGATTTAATTAATTTTCAAGGCAAAAAATAGCGCAATAAACAAAGATGTGGGCAAGCTAAAAACCACAGCCTATTATACTGTTTAAAATTAAATATTTGTTATAAATTTACAAGAGATATCTTTACATTGATATGATTAATTAACGATTCACAGCGTTTGGCGCCAAAAGTTACTAAATCCCATCGCTCAAAAACTTTCGGAAATTTTCGGAAACACGATGAAAAAGTTAAAAACAGATTTTCAATTAAAGATAATTGATAATTCCCTCAATATTTCAAAATATAGTGAAACCTTCTTCTTCACTAATGCACTTGGATGAATATTTACGTTTTTCGGAAAAAATCCTTAGATTTCCTTAGATTTTTTCTTTTCCTTAGATTTTCCTTTTCGACAGTAGAATTTCCTTAGAAAAGGAAATTTCCTTGAAAATGGAAGCACTGCTTCTTTTCCAAGAAAAAGTTGTTTGGCCTTTAGCTAACCTTTAGCCTAACCTGAAGTTCAGGCCCTATCACAGAATAGGGCCTGACACAAAACCTATCTAAAGTGTGGGATTCCCGTCCACCTGGTGGACGGGAAATCTGATTGGTTGATCAGCATCATGAAGGATTTTGATTGGTTGCAAGTTCACATAAACAACAGTTTTAAAAATAGCTCGGTCAAGGCGAGAATTAATATAAAGGTCAAACGCACGTAACAAATTCCATTATCGATTTCTTCGAATTTCTTTTCTTTTATGCTTTATGGCAGAAAATAAATCGAACAAACAGTATTTTGAAAGGGCTTCATCAAAATCTTTGACGAATTTTGGATACACACGACGCTGAAAGAACAGCCAAACTAGTCATGTATTCGAAAGCTTGTTGTTGACAGCCAAGATGTTCTGCCAAATTGCTTCGCCGGCAAAAGTCTTATTTCTAATATCAGGTCCTACCGGCGTTGTTTTCTGAGCTACATCGCCTTCTTCGTGGTATGATTGAGAATTTAATTGTTGCTGTTATTAGCCCGTTAGTCGTTAGAGTATATCCGCGTCCAGCAAGTTAAGACCTTGACAAAGCTTGGCAGTCAAGCCGTGCACAGAACTGACTAATTAAATCCTTGTTTGCTGTTCGCCTGTTCGGTTAAATAGAGAAACTGACTCTTAATTATATAAAAGTACCTTGAATTTTTAAGTTTAATTAAAAAGCAAAATGCTCTGCGGACATGTTCATGAGAATATAATTTTTTTGTGTAACGAAATGTACAACACTTGTCAATCATATTGCATGTGTGTCTAAAAATAACATGTGGGCGTCCCACGGTCTAGACAGGTTTTGTGTCAGGCCCTATTTCAAATTAGGGCCTGAACTTCAGGTTACCTTTAGCCCGGCTACTTTTCGAACAGTATTTGGCTCTGAGCATGCGCAAGGCCTAACCTCGAAAATGAAAGTAAATAATAGTTGAGACGTTGAAGGCGTTGTCGTTCGAAATGGCTTTGAATATGGCTTTAAATCCTGACTAATTTCGCTCATGATACGATGGCTTGTTGCGGTGGCGGTTATCCGGAAGATCGTTTTCAAACTTCAGTCGATAAAAATTTCTTCTGTCCAATCTGTACGGACGTATTGAAAGACCCAGTACAATGCCACAACCAACACCTTTTCTGCAGAGCCTGTATAACAGAGCATCTTAAGAATTCCCATAATTGCCCCGTTTGTATGCAAGAACTCACGGAAGAAGCGTTATCCAAGCCAGCAAGAATTGTGACAGGCTATCTCGATGGTTTGAAGATCAGTTGCGAGCACAAGGAACGAGGATGTGTTGAATTGGTCGAGCTTGGCCTTCTTGAAACTCACATTACCGTGTGCGAGTATAAACCTGTAACGTGTCCTAACGAAAGATGCGAGGCTGTTGTCAACATGGCAGATTTAGAGGAACACACGAGCGAGGTTTGCGAATACAGACAAGTATATTGTGAAGAATGTGACGAGAACATGTCGCTGAAGAAATATGGAAAACATGGCTGTTTTATAACCAAAGATGTTCAGGTATTATGGCGGATTTCCAGTCCTCGCACGAAGCAGCTCGCTGCGAGTACATGCATGAGCACTTTCATCCAATCACAATGCTTAAGAGTTAATTTTAATTAGAAGCAATGATTGCAAGCACTCGCAGCGAGCTGCGAGGAGCTTCGAGCGAAGACTGGAAAACCGCCTTTATTTAATTAACCTTAGCTTTTGCCAAAAAGTGGGCGGGCGGGGTCTTTTTCAATTTATACTAATTTTTAACGCCTTGGTTTTAAGTCCGAAACTGGATTTTCTTGCACAGTACAGATATTTTTTTATATATTTCAAAATATGATTCATACCATCATTTTCGCACGCAATCTTGCAATTTATTAACACAATAGCCAATTCCAGCTTTTAGTTTATGCGTGCAGGGGATGATGGGAAGTAAGGTATCATATTGCTGATTTGCTGAAAAAATAAAAATGGTGGCCGTATAAACACGGAGTTACAGCTTATACTTGTAAATATTGAAATATTTTGGTTGTTTTGGCAGTTTTTATTGACATTTTCAGCATAATCAGCAATATGATACCTTACTTCCCATCATCCCCTGCACGCATAAACTAAAAGCTGGAATTGCCTATTGACTACAGTCAACAAAAATACTACATATATTAGAGCCTGTTGATCAATAAAAGTTAGGGTTTTTTTTATATAAAAAATAAAAAAAGTCTTGAGCGGGGCCTTTTTTGTAGGTGGGCGAGGATGCTAACTAACTATTTTTTTATGTGGCCTAATTTGTTCATTTTTCCTTTAATAACCCTGAGGAAAATTGCAGAGATCAAACGATGCTGACAGGCTTCATCCCTCGACCTTCAGAAATGACTTTGGAGTCACCCTTCAGAAAAACTCATCGGGGGGAGAAGGGTAAATGAAATGGCCCATTAGTAAATTGACCTTGGACCATTCCATTTAAAGTACACCCCCCCCCCCCCTATGGATGAGTTCAATAAAATTTGTACCCCTCAGAAAAAACTTAAAGATCAAAGGATGCCGATGCACACAACCCCTCAGAAACGGCTTTTTCAAAACCCTCAGAAATTCTCGCCCATAGGGGGTGTATACATTAAATGGAATGGCCCCTTCTGTAGTAATATTTTTATTCAAATATTGTAATATTTAACAAAATTCACCCTAATTGGCTGCAATGTTTTATATATAACAAACTATCTATTGATCTATCAGGCAATGAAGGGAGAATTGTCTCAAATGCAACATCAGGTCAAAGAGATGTTTAACACGCAGAAAGAAATGCTCGAAGCATTCCGAAATCTTACAACTGCCTATAAAATGAGCACAGCAAAAGGCAAAGCTGCATCCACCTGTGACACAAAAGGGAACATTGTTGTCCTTGGTGGGCAAAATGGTGTATTACTGAGCAGTAGTTGGCTCAATTCTGTTGAAATGTACTCCCTGGCTAATAGGACATGGCACAAATTAGCACCAATGCAACAAAAGAGAGCAGCTGCAACTGCACATTTTTACAATGGCCAAGTCATGGTTACTGGCGGAAGTTATAGTGGGCGCAGTGCAACTTGGAGTATAGAATACATCCAAATCCCTGGAAAAGATTTGCCAGTCAGAGCTTCCCTAGATGCCCTTCCTGCAGCTGAATTGCCATTTGAATGCTTTGGTCACAAGACAACCATCCTAAATGATCATCTATGGCTTGTTGGAGGTAGTAGCTTTAGTCCACTCTCGTGCTCAAATGGCATTTACATTAAGCCTATTCACTCAACTGGTATTTTCCAGGTTAAGTGTCGAATGCCTAAACCACTTTCGTACCATGCTTTGGAAGTAGTTGACAATGAAATTCTAATCATTGGAGGATCAACCACTGGTATTTCACGGGACAATGTTAAGACTGTTTTGTCATACAATACAGCCACCAATGCACTTGGAGAATTACATCCACTGCCATTTCCAATGGTTGTTATGGCAACTGTTAAACATGGTGATGATGTAATCATTATTGGAGGAAGGAACAAGGATTGTGAGTATTTGAACACAGTTTTCAAGTACAACCATAAGAAGCGTGTATGTGAGCAATTACCAGGAATGAAATACAAAAGAGGAGGATGTGCCGCTGTTATTTCTGGAAACAAAGTGTTTGTGATGGGAGGATACAATGACGAGCAACGATACCTAAGTTCTGTCGAGTGTTTTGATCTTGAGCGTCAGGTGTGGCATGAACTTCCATCCATGAGTGAAGCAAAATATAAAATAGCTGCAGTTTTAGTGCCATAAGGGATTGCCTTTGTCACAAAGGTTTACAGCTAGGGAATGCGATGACACAACTGTCTTTTGTCCACCCTTTGAACAAGTATTTTTGAATGTGGATGGGCAAGTCGATGTTAAAACATAAAACAAAATTCCATTATTTTGTCTTTAGTAAATTTTGTTATAACGTATTGACGTTTAGCGGTGTTAATACAAGCATTTTAGTTTTGAGTTTTAGTACGAGAGCACTTTCGCCAAAACTTCACCCACTGCCACCCCCAAAAAATTCTTGATTTTTGGATAGGAATGTATCCATTTCCCAATATTAGTTGAAAAAATTATATATTTATTTTATATGCTTTTCATGCATTTACGACCTTGTCCAGGAATTATACACAACAAAGAGGATATGTATACTTTATATAACATAGCATATATAGGATCATCTCCAGTCTACTATTTAATTGTCTAATTGTCTCAATTCCCACATTTAGACATCACTTTAGAGCAAATATATAACTGTTTTAAACAGGTCTGTAATGTTTTTTATGTTACTCTGATTGCAGTATATCCACTCCGGGCAGGCTGAAAAGTTAGCCTGACCACGGTGGGAATCGAACCCGCAACCTTTGGGATAATATAGTCCAGTGCTCTGCCAACTGAGCTACGAGGCCATTGTAATGGCATGTTGAAGAATATATGTACTAGAGGTGTGGATCGGATCGGATTGGCCGCTTATAATCCGACAATTGGCTAATGTTTAAAATCCGATCCGAAATTGTCTAATCCGAATCCGATCCTATCCGAGTTGTTATAAAGTATTCCGATCCGATCCGAAGAATTCTTTAAAAAAAATAAATTTTTCATTCACGTTGAAATTTTTTAACCAAATCAATAGAAAAACAAGAAATACATGTCAAGAAGCTGACAAAGTGACGTCCAATTGAAGTATCAAACGAAAAATGCAGCGACAACCGCGATAATGCTTTGATAAATGCATGGATAATTAATTCTTGCAATAATACGTGGATAATTAATTCATTTTATTTCGAATATCGAAGTCCGATCCGACTGCGAAACAACTTAATCAATCTGATCCGAAATGTATATATTTGTTCCGAAATCCGAACGAATCGGATTCGGATCGGATTTGCACACCTCTAATATGTGCACAATATAAGTATATTGTGCAAAATATAATTATGTGGAGAAAGATTAAGTATCAAAACCCATTCCAAGATTTAGTGTTTACTGCTGTATACTGGTATTAAAATTCTTGTGTAAATCCAAGCCTGAAAATAAGCGGCCGGTCACAGACATTGTTCGGTACGAGAAAGTCATTTTTTGTCAGACAGTTTGTCTGGCAGCACATTAATACAACCATTGGTCAAATGGTCTACAACCGGCATTAAAAATTTCATTATAATATTTCAAAATGTTTGCATTCCGCATTTAAAAATTATGTGTATGTCAAAATTTCACCGCGTGTGAATACTAAGACCAACCTTGATATTATAAGATAAAACTCTTGTTGCTAATATAAAATTTTTGCACTTTATTTTTATTAGATATGAGGCTTCTGTTAGAGAAGGAAAGCACATCACTTTGGCTATAGTCGTATAGAGTCTCGCGTAGTCATGGGCGTACCGGAAGGAAAAAATTAGGGGGCGGAAAGAAATTTGCCCGACGGATTGTGCCCGACCAGTGCCGAAAATTTTTTTTTCCGGAACAATTAATTTTGGCGACCCCATCTCCATCGCCAAGAAAATTTCGGTCAGTGTGCCAATTCGGAAACACCAAAATTTTTCGGAACGTCAAACTAATTTTCCAAACATTACAAAATTGACATAATTTCCCACAAAATTGACAGAATTTGTCCCATTTATTTTTATAATAACCCAATATTGCCCGACTGTGAAGCGAATATTGCCCAACTGGCTTTGTTTGCCCAACAAACTGGGGTTATTATTAAGAGAGATTTTATTGCTTTGACTACTTTTTTGGCTTATTAATTTCCCACTCTTCGCCCGACTTATGTTGAACATTTGCCCGACTTTTCGACTTTGTAATCTTTCGGGGGGGGGGGGCAGCTGCCCTCCCCCCCGTCCCGTACGCCTATGCCGGTGTAGTCGTGTATATCACATTAGTTAAAGCTTAAAGTCTCAATCACAAAAAACCAGGCTCTATAGCGAGCGTGACATACTTTCTGGAAGCGTGTATTATGTTAGTAGTAACTCGGACACCATTTTTGCTTGATGTATTCTTTGTTGTATCTTGGCCCAAAAATTTCATACAGAATTATCTGCACAGGTGACCCAGGGTGCATTCCATGTAAACTTTATGCTGAAGATACGCCAGTATTATATAACCCATAGATAGTATTGTAATTTGCCAAACTTACGCCGGATCTTCAGCGTATTGCACTTAAAATGCACCCTGGCAGGTGACCCGCCCTGGATCTTATGGGAGAGCAACGTAACATTACATATCTAAATATGCCCTCTGCTTGCTCTTCAACACTAAGCGTATCACTTGGTGAGGTGCGGATTGTTGGGCTATTTATGATATTACATATTTAATTATATAGTATACATTGGTAAACGTTCCTCTCCAATTAAACCGGGGTGGGTGCCTGTGTATCTGCCCATCTTCAAAGAAGTTTACTAAATATATGGAATTTTTATTCAGAATTTAATTAAGGAATTCTAGCATAGGGAAACAAAATTAACCCTTGTTGGAAAGTTCACTATATAAAAAGTTGGCTTCTTGGAGGCCAAATAACTCGAATTTGGCTTTTTTATTCTTCGTTTAATTAAACACAAAAAAGTTTGGCCTCTTTTTGGCCGTCTGAAAAGACCCTGGTTATAATTCTAGCCAATCAGGACTCGTGAAATCCAGCTGCTGGTAGATCGCAGTTTTGCCTTTTTTTGTAAATTCCATCCTCGGTCCCAGAGCCTCACGGCTGACACTTCATTGCACCCTAGTTTCTGCATATTAATGAGGTGACGGCTCCTGAGAGCGAAACGCTCGGTGACGTCACGGAAATCAAAAGCGTGCACAGAGGACTTGGGACTAGTCTGACTCCATTGAACTATAAGTTTATTAAGTTTATTTACAATCTCGTTCCCCGAGCCTGCGATCCTCCCGAGGATCGCAGGCTCGGGGAACGAGATTGGTTTATTTATAGTTCAATGGCCGAGGGCGAGCAGGTCCTCCAGTAATATAGTATAGTATAATCCCTGCCTCCTCCACAGGCGTCTCTTGGTCTCTAAATAGTAAATACAGCGCGAACGCGAAAGGAAAGTAGATGAAAAGCCAAAGCAGATGAAAAAGCGGCGAGAGAATAATTTTCTCGCGCGCCGCCTTTTCCTCATCAGTATATTAAAGCATATGATTAAAGAGACGTCTGGGTACGAGGCAGGTATAATCCTTAAATAACTTGACTCCAGACTATTTAAGTAATATGTTTAAACCATCGTCAACAATTTCCCAGCGACATACAAGAAGCACTGCCAATATGGACTTATGGATACCAAACTATAAACTATCAATCACCAGGAGTGGACTTCGGTACACTGGAGCATCTTTTTATAATATGTTGCCACCAGATATTAGATCTTCCAGCTCATTTCAAGCGTAAAGCCCATGACTTGTTTTTGGATATGTACAAAA